TATTGCTAAGACATATCCTGGGTCTGGTTCTTTGTCTCTGTGTGGTCCTGAGGGGACCCTTGTAAGAAAGGTGTCCTCTCTTCACTATTTCCCACTACCATGGCCTGCAGTGACCTTGGTAATTGTGTGGTATACCCTGTGCCCAGAGAATGTTCTCTTTATAGTCTTCTCTCTATAAGAATAGCAATGGCATTTTAAAATCTGTATTTCTTTTAATTGTTATTTATTCATTTTTTAAAAGACAAACACCTTTTTCTTTCCAGAGTACTGGGGATTGAACCCAGGGCCCTCTACCACTGACCCACATCACCAGCATTTTTTTTTATTTTTTTATTTTGAGATGGAGTCTCACTAAGTCACCCAGATCACAGGTGTTTACCACCATGCCTGGCTGAGAAAAGCATGTTTCTACATATTATCTCATTTGATATTTACTATTTATTAGCTTCATCTGAGGCAGAAGGAAACTGAGGCTCAGGTGTGGCAAGTAGAACCCAAGGACTCTCCCCTGGAAGCCTGAGCTACTTAGGCCTGAATCCCTTTGACTTGAAAGCTTGTGACTGCTTCCAGCCCTCCAGACATTTAGACTGGTTTGCAGAGTTGACGCTCCTGTACAAGGTTCTTCATTCTGTGCCCCTGCTGGTCTCCTGGCTAGAATCTCAGCTCTGTCACCTCACCCTCTGCCTCAACCACCTTAAGCTACCTGTATTTCCTCCTCAAGCCGGGCTTTGCTCCATTCTTTTCTCCAGGTCTTTGGACATGTTTTTCTCCTGCCTTGAATTCTCTTTTCTTTCTTCCAACTGATGAATCAAGTCTATTTTCTCAGCATACACTATATTGTCACCAGAACTAGAAAGCCTCTGTCACTAAGTCATCCTACCCCAGACAACCCCCAGCTCCCTTCAGACTTCTCTATTCTCATCTCAGATCTTTCTCTTGTTCTCCTGAGCTTATCCTTCATTCCTTTTAATAAAATTTTGTTGGTTTTGGCACCTCCCTCTAGAGGTAAGTTCCTGGGGATGTTTAATTTCTTGAACGCCCTGTGCCCAGGGCAGGGCTTGGCCCAGCACGAGGTCTCGTGGAGGGAGGGAGGTAAACCTGTGCTGGATGCTGGCTCAGATGGGCTGATGGATGATGCTGGATAGCTCAGGGTCTTTCAACCCAGGCAGCAAGGCTCTGCCACAGAGGTGGAGTGAGTTGGGGATTAGTGGCAAGGGAAGGCTAGGTTTTGTGTCAAAGCAGCAAAGAGAATGAAACTCTGCATATTCTCTAGCTGTGAGCAATGTTGTTTCCGAGGAATGGACCTGGTCTTCATTGTTTGCATCTCTGCCTAGAAGCTGCAAAGAAATCAAAGAGAAATGCTTTGATGCAGATGGTAAGTAACAAGCCCTATCAGGATTTTTGTCTTCAGTGAATTTTTTTTTAATTCCTTTTTTTTTTTTAGCTTTTTAAAGTTTTTTTTTGTTGTTGTTGTTGTTTGTTTGTTTTTTTTTAAGTACTGGGGATTGAACCTGGGGCACTTTACCACTAAGCTACATCCTAAGCCCCACCCCTCACCTTTTTAAGACAAGGTCTATGTTGCTGAGGCTGGCCTGATCCTTCTAAGTTGCTGGAATTACAGGTGTGTGCCACCACACCCAAATGTTTTTGTTTTGTTTTGTTTTTTAGTTTAAATGAATGTGGTAAAAAGTATATACTATACATGGGATAAGCTTTGTTATTTTAACCAGTTTTAAGTGTACACTTCAATGGAATGAATTACTTTCTCAATGCTATGCAGCCACCACCACTATACATCTCAAGAAAATTTTCATTACCCCAAACAGAAATTCTATAATGAATTTATAGAATGAACCCATATTCTGCCTTCCCTAAGGCCCATGTAGCTGCTGTTGTACTTTCTGTCTATGAATTTGCCTATTTTAGTTTCTTCATGTAAGTAGAATCATAAGGTAACTGTACTTTACATCTGGTTGCTTCCACTTAGCATAGTGTTTTCAAGGTTTATACATATAGTGTGAATAACTAATTGCTTTCTATCAGTTTTTGATAGATATATTTGTCAATATATGCATAATATAGATTGTCTGTGATGTGTGTATACACACTATTTTATTTTTCTGTTGAGTATGTCAGTTATTTCTATGAGTCCTGTGACTAATCCTGCAATAAATGTTTAGTGTTTGAATCCTGTTTTTAATTCTTT